AATGTTTGTATGTTTAATCCTGTTCATATATCTAAAAATAAATTACTTTATTTTGGAAATACGTTCAGGTCACAAGTTTTCATTTCTAATTCATGATCAGAGTTGTTCTCATCAGTGTCTGAGATTTCATAATGCAAAGATCTTGAGGAATTATTTTGTGAGATTAGGCTGGTCCTAGTTTCATAGAGTAGTTCTTACATCTCTAAATAAAACCTAACATAAATAAATTTGGTTCTAGACTTTTTTGTATTCAACTGTTGATGCAAATGAACAAAATCATGCATAATGCTTTTGGAATAATAAAAGGACAGCGTTCCTTAAAGAATTATAAACGGTCTGCCAATTGGCATGCAATATAATTGGATTATATGTTATACTCATTGTTTAATATTGTTATATACTTACGTTAAGAAAATATATAGGGGTTAGACAATGAAACTGAAACACCTGGTTTTAGATCATAACATCCTTTCAGACAGCTTTGTCTTGTGTCCACAGTTAATCCTGTTGGATGTGGTTCATCCTTCTTGGTGGTATGCTGACATTACTCTGGATACTGTGGCTCTTGATACATCACAAAGACTTGCTGTATTGGTCACAGATGCTCCAGAAAGATATGCACCAACAATTTGTCCTCTTTTGGCATTAACATTATGGGTGACTCTGGAATGTCACCCAAAATGTTGTGTGCATTGCAATATTTTGAGCAAAACTGTGCTCTTACCCTGTTAATTGAACCTTCACACTCTGGTCTTACTGGTGCAATGTGCAATTAATGAAGATTGACCACCAGCCTGGTCCAATTTAGGCATGGAACCTCCCACACTAAAATGACAAGTGTTTCAGTTTCATTGTCCCTGTAGTAATAGCTATATTGGTCAAACTTTTAAAATACCTTGCATGCATTTCGAGAATGAATGATGACTGATCTCATGCTACACCAAATTTTAGCTTAATCTGTAAAATTGACTGAGGTATAGATATTTATGTGTAGTCCCTCTTGACTTGGGCTGACTCAAAAAGTAATTAGTTATAGACATATAGCCAATATTTGCTTTCTGAGAGCTTTATTTATTAACCTTTATTTGACCTGGCAATTTTCAATGGGATCTCTTTTGCAAAGGGTTGGGCCTAAAGACATTCCAACATGCATGTTTGTTAGAGGAAACAAAGTACCATCATGTGAAATACATGGTGGTTTATGAGATATTTTTCTAACAGAAAAACAAGATGTTTATCTTGTTTGTAGGTGTTTACCTACAGTTAATAACAAGTTTTAGGTAAATATGTTGGACAATGTGCAGATCTCAAAGCATGGGCATCTGCCCATGATTGTACTCACGTGCTATCGCACCAAGCTTTAGTTTAATATTTATAAAAAGGACTGATTTAGTGATATTTAATGTTTTCTAAGGTCAGTTGGGTGTGGGGTTATCACTTAGTGCCCAAAGTACAAGTTGGGGATGAGTCACATTTTCACTCAATATATGTAAATTTGACTGAGTTGGAGTCATTTTCGTGTTTGCTAAGATCAATTTGTTGTGTCAGCCATTTTTATATGAAGTCACCCAAATATTATCTTTGTAGATTTTAATCAATCAATTACTTTCTGAAAATAAACATATATGTATGCATACATTATCACTCCACTGTGGTATTTGGCAGAGTGTGATAGTAAAAAAGCAAGTCAACTCACAGGTTGGCCGTCAGTTCCTGGCTGTCCTTTAGCACCCGCGACTCCATCTTTACCCTAAAAAGAAAATGGGCCCACAGCGTGAGAACAATACAGCAATTCACCACAGGCCTATTTCAAACGACATGTTTTAATCTTACTGGAGGCCCCGCTACTCCCAAGCCAGTAGGCCCCTGAGGCCCAGGAAGCCCCATGTCACCCTTGGAGCCCTGTGAATGAGAAACCCCCAAGGTGAAAGTTTGCGCCGGCTTCCCCTGGCTATAGATGTGATCATTTACGTGAATCACTCCTATCTGAAAGGCTACCTTTTCCCCTGCAGGTCCAATAAGGCCAGGTGATCCTGGAATACCAGGAAGTCCCTGCACAAAGTGAAGAGATTAGACTAAATTTGAAATATGTAGAGCTAAGGAGCAATGCTTTAAAAAAATTGAAAAGCTTACAACAAGTCCTGGGAGACCCCTTGGTCCTTCTTCACCCTAAAATTAAAAAGCAGTAATATAAAAAAAAAATGATGTGAGAAAGAAAAGAGATTAAATAAATTTCTCCAGTTTATACTCCATTATTCTACAATGAATCAAGTGGTTTGCGACAAAAAAATATATATAGGCTGTCTATATATTGACCTGTGGTCCTGGAAGGCCAACTCCTGCAGCTCCAGGTTCTCCCTACAGGGGGCAAAATGCACCACATGTCAGAATCTGGATTTGCCTTTATAACCACAAAGTGAAATAACATTCATACCTTGCTTCCTTTGAAACCAGGTGAACCTGGTAAACCTGGAGTACCTGATTTTCCCTGAAAAGTACAAAGAAAATGGTAAACATCAGTAATTCCAATTCTACACAGCTAAAAGGACACTGGTTCAAAATTTTCTCACATTCTTGCCAGGCTTTCCTGCTCCAGGGGGACCAGGGTCTCCTTTCTCTCCTTTGGGGCCTGGCACAGCTGTACCATCACCATCTACAGCGCCAGGAGAAGAACAGCTGGTACACGCCTCCCCCTGGGTAAACAAATCCAAAACCTGTTCTAGAAACTTTTTTTAAAGAATTGAAGTTACTCTTGGAAAAGTAAGTTTCCAAAGTTTGGCACTCAGTCTTAACTACTGTACGTATATATTAGGCATTTGGCCTGCAATTAGGTGTTAAAAGACATAAATGCAAAACTTAAACAACATCATTGATACAAAAACACAAACGGCACATCCTATGGCACTGGTTTTAGTACCAAACATTGAATGATGCAAATTTATCTGCACCAAGGTGAAATGGAAGTTTCTGTAAGCTTTCTGACTACCTTCTCTCCTTTCAAGCCCCTTAGTCCATCCTGACCAGGCTCTCCGGGTGGTCCTGGGACTCCAGGAACGCCACTCAGTCCCTTTTCTCCTTGATCTCCTTGATCACCCTGGAAATAAAATTGGCAATAAAGGACAGGTAGAAACATCAAAATGTTCTAGAACTGCTAGTTTAGTGCAACCAGAGTAAAGCTGATTTAACAAAGGCTTATTGGGATGAAGATAACTGGTGATGAATTTAGCTTTCAAATGATGATGGTTTCACTCTCAGGATTTCCAGAACTGAATAGCTGTATTTTAATTATTAACTTCTATTTAACCAGGGAAATCCCACTGAGATGATAGATCTTGTTTGCAAGGGAGGCCTGGGTCTGAAGGCATCCTGTTTGTACATGTTTTTGGTCTGTGGGGGGAACAGGAGTACCCTGAGAAAACCCATGCAAGCACGAGACAAAGGTACAAACTCTGCACAGAAAGACACCAGGTCCGAACTGGGTATCAAACCCAGAACCTTCTTGCTGTGGGGTATCTGTGCTAACCACTAAGACATCATGCTTTTTTGAAACTGAAGCTGAGTGATTACAGAGTATATATGTTTTACTATGTTAAGGAATTTTGGCTCTGTTGGTGGCAGATTTACATCCCAGATGTTTTAGTTAAATGTTCCAAACAACAAATTTGGCAGTATAAAACAGAGCTGGGGGTATTAAGATTCTCAGTTCTTTAAAATCTTGTTTAGTAACAATAAATTAGGAACAGCTGTTTGTATCTAAACCTTCCACAGTTTTTTTTCTTTATCTCTGGGAGAAAAAAAAATTGATTTTTATGTGGACAATGAGTTATTTAAAAGACTGGCGGAATGCCCAGGAGGCTTGATTAGTTGGTTTTAACTTCTCAGCTGATAACAGGGTTTTTTAATGTGGTGTGAATTCCTTGCTGAGTCCCAGCGGGAGCTCACTGTGTGCGTGAAAATACACACAGAACATCTATTTATAAAGGAAATCAGTAGAATACCTAAACCAGAGACCTACCTGCTCTCCCTTTGCACCAGGCAGGCCCGGTGGTCCCTGCGAAAGTAAAAATACACGTTCAGGCATGTGAAAGTGCAGACCATATATGCTTATACATACAAAAAAAAAAAACAATAAAATAAAAGAAACAGTTGACACAAAGCACATAGAATGTCAAAAAAGAATAAAAGTCAGGGAATGGAATTGGTAGAAATCTAGTATAGCAAGTACGCTCACATATCCTGTTTGTATAATGAACATTATGTAGATCAGCCCTGGAGGGCAAAACCTTTCTGTATCACAAACTTTTGACTCATCCAGATGGAAGTTAATCTGTTTCACTCTGCAGGAGGACAGGACGCCAAGAAGCTGCATTGACGTTTTGGGATTTGTCTGGTCTTAATTCCGATGACAGTAGTGGTTGTAAAGATGAACACAACGAATCAACTGAGCCTTGTTTCTATTTCTTCTTATTGTTCTCAAGTTGGCTTGTAAGCCATATGATCTTATCCCACGTTTTGCTTGATCAAGCTTCTTTAATTTCATACAGGTTTTATGGGACAAAAAACTGGTCAGAAGCAATAAAACCAAAATTAAAGAGAACACAGGAAAATAAATAAAGTGACAGGCAGTGCATGTTATGCATTTCAAACTCAATTTCATTATAGTCAATAAAATTCAACTAAGTATCATTAAAATAGTTTAAAATCCTACTAAAAGTAAGCTGCTGGGGAAAATTGACTGTCCTTTCCTGCTTTTCATGCTATTTCCACCAAGGCAAACATTCCTCCAAACTGCCTGTGAGTGTACAAATTAAAATTCATTGTACTATGCAAACATTCACAGATATATTTTCCTTGGAGCACAATCAAACCTGTTTGCCATCAGCGCCGAGACCTGGTGGTCCAGGTGGACCTGGAGGGCCAGGTTCACCTTTTCTTCCCTCTGGCATTTTGATTCCAGCGAGTTGGCTGCCAGGTTCTGTTGGCTGACACACACCACACTCGCCCTGGGAAAGGGCAAGAAGTTAAAGATTTGTTTGCATGACAATTAGGCTAAAATACAGAAAAGTAACACTTTTATCAATGCATACAGTACCTTCTCACCCTTTGGGCCAGGCTCACCAGTTCCAGGCTCCCCTTGTTCACCCTGTAAAATGATTATATTATTTAAATCTGACATAAAATAACCATATCATCAATTATGTTTATGCCAAAAGTTTTATTTTTTTTTTTGTCTGTGCACCACAATGGAGCATTAAAGCCACATTACAGTACAATTTATTTCATTTTATTTTATTTTGTTTTATTATGGGAATAAAGTTAAAATGTTGTGAGAATAAATAGTATTATGGGAATAAAGTTGAAATAGCACAAGAATACAGTAATAACAATACAAGAACTCCTACACTGTGTTAAAGTAAGGAATGTTGGGCATCCTGTGAAGGGCTATATTGACATCTGTATTATTCAACTTTATGGATCAATATGATAAACTGAAGTCTGTTGGCAATTCATGGCTGCATTGATGTATTTAGTCATCACATAATGTGGATGACAGCATATTACAATAACAGTGACACAAAAAAGTACTTTATAAATGCAGTGACACATGAGGCTGTCCGACAACAGGTGTGGGCTGACTCTGGAATGGAAAATGGACATTTCAGAATATTTTGATCTTATTCTCTTAACAAAAAAATATAAAATTATAAAAATCTCACAGTGTGGCCCTAACACTTAGTCACAGATACTATTAAAATATGTGAACAATGTTAACTATGGATGGATGGATGGATGGATGTATTTTATCTCAAAGTTTATAATTAGGTTTGCTCTAAATCTGGTTAATGTTTGGGGATGTGGTCATAAGCTACAAAAGCTAACACAGTAAGAAAAATATTTAATGAACCACTAATTGGATTTTGATAACATTTTCAGAAACCATTTCTTCAAAGCACATCTACAAGTGATTAACCTTTGGAGTCAATCAACACAAGATGGCTGCCACAATCAACTGGCCTTTAGCCTGCCTGACCCAGGTTGCCAGGGATTTTGCATTTGCATAGTAGGCTGTTAAATGATTCAATTGGCTGTCTTTATTTTATTTTATTTTACTTTTACTTTTTTAGATTGACACCTTCTTTGACCAACTGGGTACATCTAATATCTCTCCAGAGCTCAAAATATGTGGCAAGGTCCTCATGTGATTGATTGACTGTAGAAATGGCCAATCAGCTCTGAGCTTCATTCTGACATCACAGCTATGTAAACCTATCCGGGGGGTGGGGGGGCGCTTGTGTGGGGATAGAAAATCAAACTTACAGAAATTTCTGATGTGCAGTCATTTTGTCCTCTGAGCGCTGACAACAGCATATATATATATATATATATATATATATATATATATATTAAATGTAAATGCTATAAAATAAAGGCTTATACTTTTGTTATGGCAGTCCTTTTTGATCACATTTGGTCAAAATTAGTCAAATAATGAACCAAAAGAGAAAAGCCTTTTATTTTTTTGCTGCTCTGGTTTTATAAGCTGTGTGGATTGTATTTTATCATTTTTGTTGTGTTTTGGGTGTTTGTTGGTGGGGAATGGCTGCATGTCCCCCAGATTCGATTCATTTTGCTGATCATTACAATGTTTTTGTATTTCAATTATGCTGTGAGTAAGTATGTGTGGTAGAATATGATTTATGATGGTTTTATCTGTCATTTGAGCTCCCAGTGAAGTCTGTGTTGAAATGACAGTATTTGTTTGTCCAGTTTGGACATTTGCTGGAGACCTGTCCAAGTATGGTGGACATGCTGGAATATGTTGTGTCTCAAATATTCATTTTGATGCTATTGTTACCAAATATGAACTGTTAATAGTTGAGAAACTTTATATTTTTACACAATATATTTGTTTTCCTACCATTCCCTTCATGTTCTGGAACATTTTAAAATCTTACAAAATTTTAAGTAAGAAAAAAAATCTTGTGATTTTATTGTATTTTAACTTCAATAACTAAAGCCTATAAAATATGACTGCTGAAGTTAACATTTCAGATTGAAAGCTTCAAACAGAGACTAGACTTGTGAATTTACTCCAAAGAGTCCAAGAACAGTACTTAATTAAATTTGGGTATGGTTTTTAAGGAGTTTTAGGCAGGTATGTAATTTAGTTGGGTGTCAGTTAAAGTGGCTCCATGTTGTGTAATTTCAGTCTTAATCTCAGTTTAGTAAGCCAATGCTGTGTGACAGGTCTGAACTTGACATCAAGTTGGAAGTGTTGAGCCTACAGTAGAGATATGACATTAGTTGGTAGTTGTGATAGTAAATACACTGTAAGACAAGTCAAACACAACACATTTCATTAATGTTAAGTGGTTTCTGTGAGTTTGTGAACCGGAAATTACTCCACTGTTTAAACTGTTGAACTGTTACTGTATCTCTTAATTATATACAGTATATATTGGTTTGATTATCATCCAGAAACTCCAGTTCCCTGAGTTGTTTCAACAAATACTGTATTCCTTTTGGTATGATTTATTATTATTATTGTTGTTGTTGTTGTTGGTATTAGTAGTAGTAGTAGTAGTAGTAGTAGTAGTAGTAGTAGTAGTAGTAGTAGTAGTAGTAGTAGTAGTATTTAGCACTTATTTAACAGTTCTGCCATTGTGATTTTGATTTGAGTGTCATTTTATGCCACATCTATTTGATAAGAAGACACTAGTCATGGCTGCACTAACATCACAAGATAGGTAAGATTAAATTTATGATATTGATTTATCCATGACTGTTTGATCATAAGAAAAGGACAGCTTTGGATGAAGATATTTGCTAATCTTTTTTTTTTTATTTTTTATTTTAATTTTTCATTTTTTTAGTTGGAACCACCAACAATTAGTGTTTTGAAGCTTTTAGTAGGGTCAGAACAATCATTTTTAAAATGTATGGGTCATTGAAAATAGCTGAAAAGTGTGCATTAAATAAGTTGGAAAGTTAGGATGAATTTTAAATCATTTACGCATTACGGAGTTCTCAGCCAGGGTCAAGCAGAGTGCGTGTATGTTTACTCTTATTGAATATTTATAAGCTAAAATGCATAGATAGGCAAACTTTATGTTGAATTGCCTTTAAAAAATCAGTATATTCTTGTGAAAAAGTAAGAGACCCAAGCTACTATTCAATATGAGTGAGTCTGATTAAAAAATAAATARAAAAATCCCATAAAAGGTAATTATATTTAAGCATATTATTTATTAACATTGTGTGAGCTATTTAGTATAACCAGAATGTAGAAGTGTTTGCTTCTTTGTGTGTTTCTAAAACAGAATGTGCTGCAGTTAGAAAATGCAAAACATACTGAACAAAAAAAAGAAAAAAAAGAAGAAAGAACAGAAATAAACCTTCTTACAAGACACCCACACAAAATAGATAGAGGTGTAACAAAGTAAAATGGGGTTGTTTATGAATTTAAAGTCTGCCTTTTTTCCATTAACCATAATAAATCACTTCAATTCAATTGGAACTCTTCAAACCCTAATGAAAAAAGGTTAATGAAGGTTATGTCAGATTTTTTTTCTCTTACCTTTTCCCCTTTCAGTCCATTCTTGCCACTGAGTCCCTTCGGTCCAGTTTTCCCCTGACATGTGATCACAATTTATTTTATTTTTTTTTTTTAACATCAGGAGGTTGTGAAGCAGAACTTTCAGTTTCAAAGAACTGAAGCTGAACTCACCGGCTTCCCATCAGCGCCTGTGCTGCCTGCATTACCCTGCGGACAAGCAAAGAAGAAGAAAAAAATAATAAAATAAAATACTGAATTTCCTGAATTGCTAAAAATGGATGAGTTTTTAAATTGGTAATTCACCCTTCATAGTAAGTCTCACCCTACAGGCAGCTATGTCAAATGATATTGTTTTTTGAGTACCTAGGCTCTTCACTAATACGTTTCCAGCTGAGGAATATCCCTATGGTCGACAGTTTGGGGCCCTAAAATTAGCACACTGCTGTGATTATCTTCCTGATGGAGTCTATTAAGAGCCGTGCTCCGACACCTACTGGGTGAGCTCCTCTTATGTAAGCCATGTCAGCTACTGGGGTCAGCTACTCTCTGCACTACTGTTGCGTAACTTACCTTCTCTCCTTTAAGTCCAGGTAACCCTGTGTTTCCTGGCTCACCCTGTAAAGTAGAAACAAAAGGTAAAATAAATAATTTTAATGAAGGTGTTTATCATTAAGTGTATTACAATGGGAACACATTTGAAAGCAAAATAAAAAGTGGCCAATAGGGCAACTTTTTTGAAATTTTGTTAGATTTTACCTCAGTCGTCTTTTATAATGTCCAATATAAATTTCAAACATACTATTTTTTTAGTGATCTGAAGGGAAGTTTATTCAGTTTACACAGATTGTTAGATGTACTTCACACATACATGTTCATATTGAGATGTCTGAACTAGTTTTGATGATCAAATGTGTAATTATGTATTTCTTACTTATTGAAATTAAGCTCTGATAATAGTAGTGTGCATGCTCAGTTTTGAGTGGCTCATGATATGGGTCATCTCAGAACAAACCACACTTTTGACAGCTAAAAAAAACATTTTCACACCAAACAACAAACAGTGTGTTTAACACTGGACTGCTCAACAGGAAGGGCCTTCTGTATCAGGGATGTATTTTGCCCCAAATGGTTCGGTCAGAAGGTTGTGTTTAAAAAAAACTGTGTTATTTCCTGATTCTTGGCAAAAACAAACAAACAAATAAATAAATCAGAGACTTCGATCAGTTCTGTTTTTAGTCTGGCTAGTGGTTGTGTAAAACTTGGTATTTTTCAATTAAACGTTCAAGTCTAAATCTGAATTTGTGTCCTGTGCGTATTTCATCTGCCAATGAACACAATTTCTTAAATATCTAAACTGACAAAATGCAGGCATTTTTCATATTTAAGGGAATAAAGAAAACCAAGAAAAAAAAAGGTTAAACTACTGCCTGTAAGCCATTATTGTCACCATTGGAACTATGCACCTGTATCTGTCACGTGACCACATTTTAAAATATATATAGATAGAAATGCAAACTAAAAAGTAAACCTCAGCCAGTCAATGTGCAAAAACTAAGAGTCATAAAGAAAAAAACAAATATGTTGAACTGTAGGCGGAATAAGCTCCTGGTGGTTGAAAATGTCAATGTCTTTGTCTATAATGTTTTAGCGAAAATTAAAAAAAAACCTTCACTTTAAGATTTGGTGAGAAAATACAGAGCTCAGAAAAAATGGAAATCAATGAGTTTGGATTTACGCATAAAATATGAAGGGATAAAGACAATAAAATGTAGATGTCAGATGCAGAAATGTTGACTGACATAAACAACTTTTGAACAAAATAAATGCATTTATTTAACCAAAACAAAGGGCTGATGTTGTAGCAACAGGAAAAAAAAAAAATTCTTTAGGCGACAGAAAAAAAAAAACTTGAAGGAGAGTGTGTTGTAAGTACACACAATGCCAGACTGCAGATAGTGAAGAAATTGTGAAGACTGAGGGTAATGAGAAGAGGAAATAAACCTGGGCTAATTGACAATATGGAACAGGACCAGGGAGTGAAGTCTAACAATGACTAATTTCTAACTGAGGGACAGATAGGAAACTCAGAAGGGAATGCTATAAACTAAACAGAAAGAGGACAAACTCAAAACATAAAACCACAAAAAAAAATAAAAAAAGAAAACACRATTTTGACAAGGATGAGAAAAAAAAAACACTGGTTCAAAGATCAAAAACAAAGAAAAAAGTTTTAAATCCTAACTCTATAAGAAGTATAATGATTTTAGAAAGAAAAAAGGGCATTTATTTATTTTTTGTAAAGATTTGACCTTTAAAACTTAACGTGTGTCATAATCACACTTCTATGTTTCACGTTTTGTGGCAGAATCTTAAAAATAAAAGTCACAGACAACTGCACTGCAATTTGTTAAAACCTGTTGAAACTGTCAAAATCACAAGTAGGCTTTGCAAAGTCCAACTTCCTATAAAATAGTTAAAGTTTAAACAATGTTGCTGTGAAATGTGCTGAGGTTATATGCAATAGGTGTCTTGTTTTTGCAAAGTTTTGTGATTTGTGTCTTTGACATACAATGTATTGATACCAAAACTTACATAACACTATTCCCTGTCAAGTTTAATTGATTTTTTGACATAGTTGTGGGAGTAAATTGAAAGTTATTGAGTACAATAGTTGATTAAATTGTCTCAATGCTTATGCATTTTTGCTTATGCAAAAAAATGGTTCACCGACTATATTTTTATACAGTATGTGCTGTATTGTGCATTGCATCTTTTTCTGAAAAAAATAAAAAATAAAAATAAATAAAATTAAACTTACTTGCTCCCCTTTATGTCCAATCCCAGGCTCCCCTTTTTCACCCTTCTGCTGCATCACGGTTGTAATGCCATTGAGGTTTGCAAATTGTTCAGGATCAGGGCATGCAGAACATGACTCCCCCTAAACCACATTAAGAGAGGTTGTTTTCATACAGTATTTGATATCGATTCACACAAAATTTGGAACAAACTTGCAACATTTAGGAACGAAAAACTGTTAAAGTTGGGAAACATTCTCGAGTTCCAAGTTAGACTAAGAATAAATTCAAAGCTTGGTTAGTTATTAGACCAAATTGTTGCTGGCCTGTGACAAAATAAAGCAGTCTAAACCAGAAAATGGCTTGTCTTTGAGCTTAAAGACAGAGAACAAGCTGACCTTCTCTCCTTTGGCACCATCTGATCCCCGTTCTCCCTGCCAAAACATACAAAAACACAGACATCCAAATTATCCTCAGCTCATTCTGCCAAGCAAGTTTGCTTTGAGTTCTCATGCTTGAAAACGGCATTGGAAGCATTTTGGTCATTGCAATTAGCCAGATGTCAGTAAATATCAGTGTGTGTGAGTGTGTGGGTGTGAGGGATGGTAGTTTTAATTTGAGCAGATTGGCATTAATGTACATTAAAGCACAGCTATAGATCTACACCTACATACAGCTGGTGCTGTTTTAGGGACTCTTTTTTTTTTTTTGCATTTTGTGCAGTTTGTTCCTAGTTTCCCTTGCTCCTGCTTTAGGATGGAGTATTACAGTGCTGACGTTAGCATATTAAAATGTACAGGAATGTAGATGAGTGTGTATAGGTCACACTTACACAGAATATGAATTAACTAGAAATTGCAACGAGGAGAGAATTCAGTACCTTTTGTCCTGCTTTGCCATCTGCACCTCTCGGTCCCTGGTAGATACGAAGACAAAAATGAAGTTAAAAGGAGGATTATCAAAAGTAAGAGTGTTATTAGTTTAGCTCTGTGAAAGAAGGAGCATATCTAACTTTCTCTTTCTGTGTATATACCTTGTTCTCCCTCTGCCCTAACCAGGTATGACAGATTGATGCTGACGCTATTGAAAATCGTTGCACAGAGAATCTCATAGGGCTAAAGATTTATATTCTATCACCCCTGCACCACAAATCATTCTCTATTCCACCTGCTGGAGTAAGTGGGAGTTAAAAAATATGAGATAAAAGACACACAAAGTACAGTATTTTGAGTTTTGACTCACAAGAGAGACACAAAGGCTTATTAGAATTTTATTAAGAAACGACCTTTGTCTCAGTGACAAAACTTTTGACAGCATAACACGTCTTATTCTCCCCTGAACTGCAAGAATTTACAGCGACAAATACAACCTCAAGGTGGACATAAATGCTATAGTTTCCCTCCGAATGATACGATTAAATACATCTATCTCTGCCATCATACAAGTGCTCAGGGTTCAGTTGTCAGCTACAACTCAGACCGTGTCTACAAGTCTAATAAAACATGTAGCGAGATCATAAAAATGTAAAATGGAGCATTTTGGTCGGTGCAGAATACATTACAGCCAAAGCAATACACTTACAGGAAGTCCTGTGTCTCCAGTCCCCGGGGATCCGGGCTCTCCTTTTGGACCAGGCTTCCCTTGTAAAGCCACTGTGTTGATGTCTCCAGTGGACACTGGGCACACTTCGCATGGGTCGCCCTGAAGATTTAACAGAAAATGCGTGTGATGAGCGAGCGCACGGACACACAAATCAAAACATATCAAGGCCAAGCTTATGTGGTATTATACCTTCTCTCCTTTAGGGCCTCCTGGGCCTCTTGGTCCCTGAGAAAACAGCAGATTTCCCGTCAAACACTGATGTATCTGCTCATAGTTACAGCACTGTCTGTAGGAAGCTGGTGCATGCATTACTGAGGAGTAATCAATGTTTGAAAGAGTTCCTCACTGGATCTCCTGGCAATCCGTCTTCTCCTGTAGGTCCCGTGTCTCCCTGTTAACGCAAATTTAAATCTGAGCACCACTGTACAAAAACAAGCTTATTTAATTTGCTAATAATATTTGCACAGATTTGGTAGCTCGAGGGTATTTAAAATTTCAAAAAGAACAGGATTTTTTTGGCTAAATTAAAAGCATCAACAAAACTGAGTTATAATAGTGTTGGCTTGACTAATAAAGAAGAGAAGCTCTAATAATTCTACCAAATTATTAGTCGTGCTCAACAAATGCTTTTAAGAAGTTATCACAAACTGGATACTATTTCAGTGTTTCTATGTTTTGATACGGTTTTGAAATGGAGTGTGAAAAGATTATTGTCTTGTAGTTTAAAAGCTGCAGGTTTGAGTCCCATGATCTCCATGTAGGTTTTTCAGAACAAAACCATTCCCTCATTGTTGCATGACGATAATTGTGTAATTTTGTTCATATTTCCAAGTCTTCCAACCCTTCTTGTCACAAACCGCTGGGAGAATTTTTCACTCCCCTATGCATAAGAAATCTTTGTGAGATTGGTCAGAAGTTGTTTATGCTGAAAGCGCTCGGACACTGCTCTTTGCTTCTAGTACTCGCTTCCAAACTCTGAATGTTGTACCGGAAAACAGGCATATACAAAAATAGTCAGCCAGGATGGATTTGTGGGCAAAGTAATAGCAAATATCTACCAGTTTTTTGTCCCCGAGTGTACACGCCAGATGGAATAAGCTCCATGCAGTGACATATATTACAGCAGAAGTGGTTACCCAGGATCTTGGTGCAGTGTTTTGTAGGGGTTAAGAAAAGTGTGTGCAAAAACAAACGTCGACCAATTACGTGACTGTCAACTGGTCAGCTTCAAATGGAGTATGTGGAGGCCTTAAATCTTGTCTTGTCTTGTTTGTTTCTGGATTTGTGATGGATTGGCAGCCTGTCCAGAGTGAGACCTGCCCCCCACCCCCACCCAATTCCGTAAGAATAGGCCATAAAACATGAACAACTGAAAAGACAAAAAAAGATCATTTTTGCTTTTTACTTGCAAATACATATGTACTTTGGGCTGAATATAGAGACATTGGGCCTCATGCAAGAACATGTTCGTATTCTTCTCCTAAATTTCTCTTACTTTTGTTCGTACAAAGGGTTCGTACGAACATGTCACGTCAGATTCAACAAACTCTTCTATCTTCAGGAAAAGTGTGTAAATGAGCTGCGTAAATTCCACCTGTTCTATCCAGCTGCTCGTGCACGCGAGAGGAGATTAGCATAATTACCACCCCAAAAACACCATATAAGGCTATGTTTCCTGCCTCAGATACAAGGAAGTGTCCATTCATGAAAAATGACAGCRAAAATTAAAAAGAAGAACTTTACGAGTTCAGAGATTGAAGTCAGTCTGTCAGAGATCCAGAAAAGAAAATCTGTAATTTTTTGCAGAGTCAGCTGTGGAACAAAAAGAGCTGCTAAAAGAATAAACAACTGTGTTAAATCATCTTCATTTATTCAGAAGCCACACCGTCCCACACCATACGTGAATTTTGTTAGTATCTGAAAAAAAATCTAAGAATGTGAAAACATTGGTGAATGTCACAAATTCTCCTAAATCACTCGTACGCACAACTCAAGAACAAATCTGTGCATTTGAACGGTGCTTGCATGAGGCCCATTGTAATGTTTCACAGTTTTAGTTTATTCTGAACCAGTTGAGTCAGGTTCTCCGCTGGGTTCTTCTCCAAGAGAATTCTTCACTCTGAGAAGTTGCAGGTAAGCTCAGCCTTATAAGCAATACCTTGCAATAGTGAGTCAACAAGTATAAATATGACAGCCAAACTGACTGTTCACATGTAAAAGAAGACCATCAGCTTAAGAACTGATTGTTAGTGCCCTGATGTCTGCTTGTAGTTCAAAGAACACTGAGACATGCTCTCAGCACAACATTGTGAGAGGGGATATTTCAGAGGACCTGACTCAACATTTTTTTAAATTCTCTACTTGAATTATTGAGATGAATAAGCAAACATGTCAGGTTGTACAAATTGTATCTAAATGGCACAAATTACCCCCCACTTTGCAGGTATACAGATGTGAGAAATCTCACAGATTTGTTCAAATTTCACAGATTTTTTCAAACACTCAGCTTCAAGTTGATTTTACATCTCAAAGACTGTAGGACGTAAAAATAAACCGGCAATAAACAGAAATAAATAACCATCTCCCATCCCACTAGAAATAAGTTTGCCACTGCACCTTCTCTCCTTTTCCTATGCCAGGTTCACCAGGAAGACCCTATGAGAAAACATGTTTAAATATAAAGTATATAGTAGTATTGTATACAACAAGGACAATAGGACACAACAAGCATACTGTATCTACTTCAAGTACGTCCCATGAAATGAAATTAAAAAAATCTCACCGGAGGACCTGGCTTTCCAATTCCTGGTGGACCTGGAAGTCCAGGCTTCCCTGGCTCCCCAGCCAACCCTTCAGGACCCACTGGACCCGGCAAACCCTAGCAGACAAGTTCAACAGGGATTCTGTTAAATCTAAATGGAACTGAATAAATGTGACAGACAGGCGGCTGGTAGAAAGTCCAGGACTTAAAGTCGACAAACCTTCTGCCCCTTGGGGCCGACCACACAGACGGACCCTCCTCGACCCTGGGAAATGGTGACAGACCAAGAGAAAAGAGACATCATCAGTGTCACCATTAAAAGCTGTGTTGACAGTTCTTTTTGTTAAGACAATTGTCAGATCTCTTAATTTGTTTACGATTTTACATTGAAAGATAGAAGAAAAAAACAGAGCCTGTAAAATAAATGGTCTTCAGTCGTGCGTGAACAATATTTTCTGTCTGTTTGTTTCAAGACACATCAACGGGCACATTTATATTCACAATGTCAGATGGATGGGAGGCAGAACGAAATCTATTCTCATCCAAATCCATCTGGTCACAACAAGAACTCGGCTTGGCAAACAGCTTAATATGACAATGTCTGATGCCAGAACTGCTGGAATATCCCACTGCATACAGGGGTCGCGATTTGTTCCTCAAAAAGGTCTTCATGCGTTTTTAGGGGATCATTACATCGTATGGGAAAGATTAAAAGGTTTAAGTCTTCCTGAATAGATGCCTGCCGGTGTGGGAGACGAATGGGCCAGTCAATGAGGCAGCATTGATTGTGCAAGCTTTGTTGCTTTAGCCTAATCTAATGGGCAATAACAGGTTGACAACGTGGCGGTAGAGGAGATATCAATGGGAGTCTGAGTTTAAAGACTAATACCACATAAGTTTCTAAAATGTTGGTTCAAGTCTGATAAAAGTAGCTGTGTGTGTGTGTGTGTGTGTGTGTGTGTGTGTGTGTGTGTGTGTGTGTGTG